CCTTCCTTCCTTCCTTCCTTCCTTCCTTCCTTCCTTCCTTCCTTCCTCTGTCTCTCCCTCATTCTCTCTTTCTTCTTTTTGGATACAGGGTCTCTCTACATAGTACTGGCTGTCCTGGAACTCACTATGTAGACCAGGCTGGCCTTAAATTCAGAGACCCACCTGCCTCTGTCTACCAAGTGTTTGGATCAAACACAACCACACTCAGCAGCATTTTCTTTTTTATGAGTATGAATATTTGCCTTTATGCATTTCAGTGCATGGCTGGTGCCCGTGGGGGCCAGAAGAGGGCGTCAGAGCCCTGGAACTGGAGTTACAGACAGTTGTGAGCTGATATGTGGGTAGTGAGAATTGAACCTGGATCCTCTGGAAAAGCAGCCAGTGTTCTCAAGGACTGTCTCTCTAACTCTGGAAACAGTTTCTGTTTGCTGTACAGACATAACCAGCAACACAAAGTGGAATAGAATGAAGCCTGCCTACTCTGGCAGAGTCAGCTCGAAGGAAGGGAAAGAGCGGCTGTCATCTAGCTGCTATACTAACCAATGGAGGGCTTTGAAACCAGCTCACAGGTGATGCCCAACAAAATTCATTAAAAATAGCACATTCGTCGGGCGGTGGCACACCTTTAATCCCTGTACTCGGGAGGCAAAGGCAGGCAGATCTCTGTGAGTTCAAGGCCAGCCTGGTCTTCAGAGTGAGTTCCAGGACAGCTAGTGATACACAGAGAAACTCTGACTCAAAAAACCAAACCAAACAAACATAAAATAGCATATTCAGTAAAATATAGCATATTGAAATGATAAATGCACTGGGCATGTGGCACACACCTTTAATCCCAGCCCTTGGCCAACCTGGTCCACATAGCAAGTTCCAGGCCTCCCAAGACTACAAAGAAGATCCTGTCTTTTTTTTTTTTAAAGGACTTTTGAAACCTTAAAACAACAATCATACAACAACAAAACCAAAACACCACCATTAAAACCAAACACACTGACTTGACCTTGGCCTCTAGCTGTAGTTTGTGGATCAATATATTTGCTGAGCCAGTGTAAATAAACACACCAGGGGAAAAAAAACAGTGGACATCTCTTAATTTCTTCTTATGCATGGCACAGACAAAGGGTTCTTTCAGTGGTTGCCATTGCATTTTTTGCCTGTGTGTTTGTTCGTGAAAAGTCAACCTCGGGTGTTGTTTTTTTGAGGTAGGGTCTGGGACTGGAACCTGCTGTGTTTCCAGCTTTTTAGACTGAGCTCTCTCTCAAACCCTGAATTCTTCTTTCTTTCTTTCTTCCTTTCTTCCTTCCTTCCTTCCTTCCTTCCTTTTTTTTTTTTTTTGTTTTGTTTTTTCAAGGTAGGGTTTCTCTGTAGTTTTAGAGCCTGTCCTGGAACTAGCTCTTGTAGACCAGGTTGGCCTTGAACTCACAGAGATCCACCTGCCTCTGCCTCCTGGGTGCTGGGATTAAAGGCGTGCACCACCACCACTGCCCGGCTCTTGTTTTTGTGAGTTTTTGTTTTTGTTTTTGAGACAGGGTTTCTCTGTGTAGCCCTGGCTGTCCTGGAACTCGCTCTGGAGACCAGGCTAGCCTCTAACTCAGAGATTTGCATGTCTCTGCCTTCTGAG